GTGCGTGCCCCTTCCTGGGCCCTTTCCCTTTCTACCTAACCTAATTCAAAAAGATAATGTTGTCTATTTTTTTTTTTTCTATCAGCAACCACTCAACATGGGGAGAGTGCAGCTCTCTCCCCACTACCGCCATAATCATTATAAACCCATTATCCATCACCAACAGATAATGATGGTTAGTGGGGCAGAGGACGGCTTTCCTGGGGAGGAAGGAAGGGGCCAAGGAGTTGAAGCAAATTGTTTCTCCAGCTGTTTGGTGTTTCCCATCTATTGATCTGCCCTGGCCTCCCCTGGCCCATCTGTGCAGCTCTTGGAGTGCAGTGGGGGAGGGGCACACGGTTCACTGGGGCAAGTGTGTTAGTTTTCCCAACACATAGCTTTACAGGAATGGCCTTACACGTTTGATTTTTTTTTCCTCAGTAGGGTTTGCTGTGCAACAGAAAGACTAGAAATAGGATAAAGGGGTTTAAAGCCATTGCAGGGACCCCAAACTAAAACTATTTGGGAAATTCAGAAAAACAAAAAAATTGATCAAGTATTTGGGAAGTTTCTGAAATCCAGGAACGAATCAAGATGCCTGGGAAAAACATGTAGAGATGTAACAGATCTTTAAGAGACTACAGTGAGGTGAGCTTCAAACAGACAGAGGCAAGCAGAAACTTGGGCATGTAGAGATAGGCAAGCTTCTAGACGGGAGTCACAAGTGATTTCTCTCTGTTATCTTCAAAATGCTACCCAAGGCTAAGAAGATATTCAGCAGAATGGACATACTCAGGGTTCATAGAATCACGCGTAACCGATTTGCAGACTTCGGTAACTAACTCTAGAGTAAGAAGTGACTCCTCTATCTCGTTTAACTCACTCAACTATTAATATAAGTAAGCCATTTAACATGTGCATCGAGGTTATAGAATCATAATATTAACTGTGGAATAAAGTCAATCCAGTAGGCAAGCAGGGATAGTTTAGAATTCTCCACCCATTCCCTAGCTGCCTCCAGGGATTTGATAGTGACCTCAGAAGGCATAATGGTTGGACTGTCTAGCCAGCTGCATAGACCTTCCTTTTGTCTCTCCCTTTAGTGGTTCTTAAATTTCAGTTTGTATAGGAATTATTATACTCGGCTTTCTACACAAATTCATGTAGCTTATATTTACTGGGAAATTTAAGTAATACTGGCTTATCCACTCTGGTGATTTTGAAACAGTAGGCTCAGTTTTACTGCGGGTAGCTCTAATGAGATGTTAGTTGTGGATGCACTCATCTAACAGCCACGTATTACAATGCCTGTGTGGCCTTGGGTCTGTAACTGTGAGTGGGATGTGGACCTCGCTCTTAGAGTGCTCCAGCTATGGTGGGGAGAAGTTGACAGCAAGAGCCCAGTGTCACAGGTGCTGTGGGGGGGGGAAGGAAAGGACACCAGAGGACTGAATGTGTTTGCTGAAAATTTGTAAATGTATTTCCATCTCTGGTATGCCTGACCAAGAGTTTGGCCTGTGTGTTGATATTTCCTGGAGAGCCTGATGAGACCATGTGCATTGTGCTGAGTTCAGGGATAGGTTGCCCTGATCGTCGGTAATCTGCCTAGAGGACTTGCCAGCTCAGCACCTCTCAACCAAGGGCATTTTTGATTGTCAAGACTAGGGGAGGCTGTTGACCTCTAGAGGGTAGAGGCCAGGGATGCTGGCAGCTATCCTACAATGCACAGGACAGCCCCCTCAGCAAAGAACTATGGCCCCAGCTGCTAATTGGGCAGAGAGTGTGAAAACCAGAGCTGGACTCTTTCTCCCCTAAATTTCATCAGAAGCAACAATAACTATATATAGAAGCCTTAAAAGCAAACTGTTTCCTCATGGAAATGTAAATTTAAGAGCACAAAATATGGACTTCAGAGGATAAAATGTGGACTGAGTTGCCCATTCTGCAATTGTGCGTCTGACTATACTCCAGGGGAGCCTTGCTGTTCCCCCAGACCCCCATACCTTGTGGGTTGTTAGTGTGGAGGAACACTGATGAGGTCTAATTGGTCTTGGTTAAGAGAATTCCCCAGGAAAAGCCCCCTTGCTGCCTTGCTTTCTCAATGGTTGCTTTGTACACTGCTCCCCTCTTTCTCTCCACAGGAGACCAGGGCGATCCACCTTATGGTATTCTCACCTGCTCAACAGGTTTTCCCTGAACAGTCTTCGAGAAATAAATACCAGTTAAAGGGGTAGAAAAACAAGCTTGGCCTTTGATTCCTAGGAGGTTGAATGACCTCTTTTGGTGTAATTCTAGACTGTTTTATGCAGAGGTGAGAGGAGGGTACTTAAAATACATTTTAATTTTTATTATTTATTCTCTTGCCTCCCAAGATTGTGTATTCTTTGCTTCAAATGGTGTTACCTGATATTCACAGAGAGTGTGTTTTCACATAAGAGCCCACTTACTTATTCTAGGGTGTGTAACTGAATTTGAGTCCTGAATTGAAGTGATGTGGTACACATGTAATAAGACGTTCTTAGAATTTTCAAGTATTCAAAGAGGGTAGGCTATGAAGTCCAAGGTACAGATTGTTGGTTTATATTCGCACGTATGAGACACCATAATTACTTAACAAGTTCCTATTTTTGAATATTCACTTGTTTTAAGGCTTTTGATAAGTCAAAGGCCCTCTGGAAAGTCGTGCCAGTTTACACTCTGAATAGACGTGCATGGACATATGCTCCCTTCTCTAGAAGTCACAAACCAAAAGTTGTGGTATAAGTGTCTAAGGGCTCAAGAGTACAGCAAATGAACCTGCCAAGTGTGACCCAATCATTCTCAGAACTCATTCTCTTATCCTTACTTATGTGGCTTCAGTAACTTTCCTATTTCAGGAACATACCAGGCATGTCCCTGCCTCAGGGCCTTTGCACGTGGTTTTTCCTTGGCCTGGGATGTGATTTCTCCAGATGTCCACAGGGCTCACTTCCCCGCCTCTCATATGACACTACTTAAATGCTGCCTTCTCAGAGACATTTTCTTTGATTTCCCTATTTAAAATGATATTCCTGCCCCTCCCACACAGACATAGACACAGTCTTCAGAGTCTCTGTCTTCCCTGCTTTATTTTACTCCACGTCCCTTGTTGCTAACACCAGCACTTGCTGCAATGTATCGCTAGCATGGAGAACCGGCCTGGCGCAGAGTAGAGACTCCACAACTTCTTGTTGAATGAGAGATAAACCATTGCTTTGCAGTTTTGCTCTTGCTGGTTACCACTAATTAGCTTCACAGTGGCCTTTCCTAATCATCCTTGGCCAAAGGAACAGCGCTTTTGTTTTGGTTCATTTCCTTTACTTGCCAGCTCTGCTGAAGTCAGTTATTTATATAACTGCTGGTGGTGTTGAGGCTTCCATTGTTAACTCTGCTATCTCTGTTGTCTCAGTAATGTCCAGCTGCCACTGAGATCTAGAATAGTAACTGACGCAGCTTACTCTGGTCTTATAAAGGTCCGAGTGCACATGGTTGATTAAGATAATCATACAGAGATCAATTTCTTAAAAAAGACCAAGAAGCCAATAGAAAAGGGGCAAAGGATTTGGGCAGTTCACAGAAACAGAGCATACGACTTTTCACTTTCATGTTCAACCTCACTCATAATGAGAGAAATACAATTCGAATGTACATTGAGATTTTTTTTAACCCATCTGTTCAAAATTCAATCTGTTCGTGAGGCTATGTGTAAGTTGGCAACCTCATACATCGCTGGAGAGGTGTATTGGTACAACCACAATGGAGGGATACTTGGGAATGGCTATCAAAATTTAAAACTGCATACAGTCTTTAACCCAGCAGTTTTACTAATGTGACTCTATTGTAAGGACACACTAGTACTTGTGCAAAATTAAGTATGCACAAGTTTATGCATCACAGTCTTGTTTATAATAGCCAATGGTAGGAAACCACCCAAATGCTCCCAGCAGAGGACTGGTTCTGCATATAGGGTGCATTCGTACAATGAACTGCTACATGGCTATGAAAAGAATGAGGATGCTCTGTTTGTGCTAATACAGACAGATTTAGAATATATACTACAGTGAAAAAGAAAAAAGGTATTGAATGCTGCCTTTTATAAAAGGAAGGTGGGAAATGTAAAAATATGTTTTTGTATTTGCCTTCTATACTTGAAGAAATTCTGGAGAGATACCTAAGAAACTAATAACTTTGGGTAGCTGCAGGGATAGGGGGTGAAGACGGATATTTGGTAGGTGTGCGGCATTGGCAGAAGGGAGACTCCACACTGCATATCTTCACACACACACACACACACACACACACACACACACACACAGTTTGAATCACATGATTAACAAAAAATGAAATTAAAAACAGAAATGGGCTAGCCTTGGAAGAGGAGGCAGAGGATAATGGGGTTGCTTCCTTTGTTTGAGCAGGACTATTCAAAGGAGAATTCAAGGTCTGTTCTGAATGCCGTCCTATCCGTATCTGTACATTTTCTTCCCGCCCCTGGAAGGCGCATTATGTGAACCGGCCTTGGGGAGGGAGTTTGTGTGTGTGCATGTGTCTGAACTCTTGGGGTATTTCTCCTTCCTCATAATATCCTGGTTGCTATAGTGCAGAGATCTATTTGTGACACACAGAAAACACTTTAAAGAAACGCTGTTTCCTGACCATGACTTCCTGGGCAATCTGTCCTTCCGGAGACTGTTGAGCACCAGGCGTTTACATGTATGTCTGGACAGAGAGCAAGCCCGGCTCATTCAGACCCTGGGCACCATTCGGAGCAGAGCTCGGTGGTAAGGAACAGCTTCCTTGCCACTGAAGATTCGCACAAACCATGCCCCCCGGGGCAGCCTTTCCTGGCGGCTTTGACTCAAGGGTGTTGCCGCCGGCCCCCTCATCTTTTATCTTTCCTGGGGAGCTCGTGGTGCCTTTGGCTGCACCCCTGTGTCTTCAGCACCTAGGCACCAAGGGGAGCCGTTTTCCGTACCAAACCACCAGTGAAAACAGGAAGTGATGAAGCAAAATTCACCCTGCATCTGCAGTGAGTGACTTCTCTTTCTCTTTTTGTCATTCCTCATTAGGTATAGACACGTGTGGCCGTCCTCCCTGTAGGATCCCAGTTCCACTGGCTTCGGACATTTTGGGGGCTTACAATGCCGCCACCGGCGGACATCGTCAAGGTGGCCATAGAATGGCCGGGCGCCTACCCCAAACTCATGGAAATCGATCAGGTTAGTAATGTGGGCGGCATTTGGGTGGTTATTTTCAGTTTCCTTTCTGTGTTGGAATTTTCGTAGACTTTGGGTAACTCTTTTTTCCCCCTTTCTCTCCCTTCTTGAGCTGAAAAATCTGTGCAATAATAGTTGCAGTGTAGTTTGATTTTTGTACCACGTACAATGGTGGTGGATAGGGTTTTTATGGTCTTCTGATGTCTACCTGGATTGTGTCAATACGCAGTTTGTGTCTGAAGCTGGGAGGGAGGCGGGAAGGACAAGTGTATCGTGCTTTGGGCAGTTGACATAGTGGAGGCTGTCCCAGCCCTGCCTTGCAGTGACTCATGAATATGTGCAGATTGTTTTAACATAGGCAGCACAAAACTTAATATTTTGGATCATTTTTCTCTTCACTTTTTGCAGAAGCAGCCAAGTATATTGGTACTTTGTTATGTTAACAGCTTTATGATGAAATTAGCAGACAGGGGCTCAGTCTTGGATCCCAGCCAATTGTGATTTTATTTTTAGGGTAAAATTCACCATGTGTCTAGCATATTGTCTGGCATGTAATAAATACTCAGTAAATATTTATTGAATGAAAAAATATCAAGAAGGTTTATAAAAATGGTTTTACCTGTAAAGGCATCCTTTAGTTTGGATCTTGAGAGTCGTATGGTATGGTTCTCATTTACTGTTTTATTATAGTAAATAGTAGGTTATCTTGGGATGGTCATTTTTGTCCTCACTTTACTATATTTATGCTGGAGCATGAGGAAAAAAGTGCTGAGACCTAATATACACTTACGGGTTTCATAAAGCATGTAACATAGGATTCTAGATGGCTTTCTACATTTTCAAAATTATAATCCCACGGCAACTCTAATCTTTATTTATGCTCTCAATACTATTATATGATTATGATTTACAATTTTTTTTCCTAGTAAGATTTTATTATCTGGTAGAGGACCAATACAAGAGTTATAAGGCATTGTGTGACTCCAAAGGAATCATTAAAATGAATTATATAGTTCAAATTAGAATTAGTTGAACTTAAATTGAATGTAAGAAAGGGTATATTTTGGGGGATTGTTGTCAAAAAAGGTGTCATCAGACTACACACGACTGCCACTTTTATTGCTCTCTGAGATAGGTTTTTAGTGACTCTGGAAGCAATCCATGCAAATAGCGAGGTGGAGACTCCCAGTAGTTTCGTGTACATTTGTATCAGGCAACAGATGCTTATCCTTTTTCATATGTGGCTTGAGATATGATGCTATTAATAGTTAAATTTTACCTTAAAAAAAGGTCTGGAGATACGTGGTGCAGACTAAATGTAGTTAGCATTAGGTTTGACTATAACCTAAGAGAAAAGTGGCTTCCCTGAGATGGAAGTTGGTTCCTCACATACACGTAGCAGTTCTGAGTGCTCCGCAGGGGCGTGGACCCAGGCATTTCCACAAGGGACTGAGGACCAGATGCTCTGGCATCACCTGGAAGCCCGTTAGAAATGCAGAATCTCTGGTCTTACTCTGACCTCCCGACCCAGAATCTGCATTTTGAAAGTACGCCCAGGGGAATCACTGACCATAGTTAAGTCTGAGAAGTGCTGAGTTGGATGCTTGGCACCCAAACCTGTGTGCTCATCAGAACCACCTGGACACTTGTGCAAATAAATGTTCTCAGCGGCCCCATCCCGAGAGAGTCTAAGTTAGTGGTTCTCGTAAGCTGTGTAATTTTGATTCTGCCATGGTTGGTGGAGTTTGAGAACCTCGGCTTTAAGACAGCAGCTCTTGATGTGCATTCCTGGCTACCATGGAGTCTATGTGGTATTCTCTGCCTTTGGGTGGCTTTTGCTGTGTGTGTGTTTTAATACTTTTTTTTTTTTTATAAAAATAATCTTTTTATTTTGGAATAATTTTAGATTTACAGAAAATTGCGAAGACTGTATACGCTTACATTTGTATCCTTCTTCCAGTTTCCCCTAATGTTAACATCTTAATCTTGGCCCATTTGTCAAAACTAAGAAATTGACATTGGTATATTACATTAACTAAACCATGAACTTTATTTGGATTTTACCAGTTTTCCCACTAATATCCTTTTTCTGTTCTAGGATCCAGGAATATCAACCACATTGTATACAGTTGTCATGTTTCCTCAGTCTTCTTCAATGGTGAATAGTTTCTCAGTCTTTCCTTTTCCGGGCCTGATAGCTTTGATGAGTAATTTTTTGATAGAATTTCGAGCACAAGGAAATTGCAAGAATAATACAAAGAACTCCTGCCCACCTACACTTTTTCTGAAACATTTACTGGGGACTCAGAGGCACCATCCCCCTTTTACCCCTAAATAATCAGTCTGTATTTCCTAAGTATAAAATCATTCTCTTACATAACCACAGTACTTTTATAAAAACCAGGAAACTGAACAACTGTAGAACGCTATCATCAAATTCGCAGTTCGTACTCCGTATTCACTTTCATCAGTTGTTCCAATAAGGCCCTTTTTAGCTACAGTCTAATATCCCATCCAGGATCGTGTACTGTGTTTATTATCACGTCTCTTTGGTCTCCATTGATCTGGAACAATTCCTCAGTCTTTATTGTTTGTGACTTTGACATTTTTGTAGTGTACAAGATAGCTATTTTATGGAAAGTCCTTCAGTTTGGGGTTCTCTGATATCTCCGATTAGATTTGGGTTTTGCATTTTTTGCAGAAATGCTAGGGAAAGATGTTGTGTCCTTTTTGGTGCATCGTATGAGGAGGCACGTGATGTTGAGCTGTCTGTTCTTGATGATTATTCTGGTTTTACAGATAAGAATATTGAAGTTCGGAGAAGTTACATGATTTGTCTGTTGGTGACAGACCAGGACATAACCCCAGGCCTCCCCTCCTCCAAAGACTGAACTTGCAAACAATTGATTAAAGTGTAGGCCTCCTGTTAAGGCCATAGACCTAGACACAGAGTTAGGAACCCAGACTCTTATTGCCCTGCAGTTGCTGAAGTTGGAGTGGGACTTAATGGCAGTGTGGGTGGCAGGTGTTGTTTCTTGATGAAGTCAGAAGTTGGCAGGAGAATTGAAAGTGTATTTGCACAAGCACTGAAGAGTTGAAGTCATGATTGTTACTTGAGTTTTCTCCCAATTTTCTACCTTATTCAATAAGCATCACATAACCTGTCTCTCTCCCATTGCATGTTAGCTTCGTTTAGAAAGCTCTTTGTTTCTTTTTAACCTGGATAGCTATTTCACGAAAAGCTGTTTTCAAAAGTTGAGTTAGGCATTGCTGCTCTATGTTCTCCTGAAATTTTGAGTGTCCATCCACTTATCACATTGTGTTGTCATCGTCTATCAACTCAATCCAGTGGTCCTCAACCCTGAGTGTGAGCAAGAATTGCCCAGGGAGCTTGTGCAAGATGCACATTCCCAGCCCCAGCTGCGGAGATTTTGATTCATTGGCCAGGGCTGGGGCCCTTCATCTGCCTCTGTGGTAAGCACCAGGTGACTGTGATTCAAGGGCTCCCACTGTTTGAGAAACAGACTGGAAGCCACTTGTCTTTGAGTGCTGTTTCTCCGTGCCTGGTGAACAGTCCTTACTTAAAATAAAAGGATGTTTCAATAACGAATAATTGGGAGGGATGCTTCCTGAGTGGTGATTATCTTATCAGGTGCTCAATTTTGCTCAGCTGTCCTCTGACAGTACCTGTTGTGTTCAAGGGGATGTCTGCCCACAGTGGCCTTTTTATCTTCTGTCTAAATTTTTAGCAGAAAGTTCTGTGTTTCCAATCAGCAGGAAAAACCCCTAGGAGCTTCTTACAAATGGACTTTGCTGTTCCATGCAGAGCTCTCCAAAGAGTTATCAGTTAGCTTGTTCCTGGCTTCTGCTCCAGGCTTCACTGTCTGTTGTTGAGTTTCAGCCTCGGGGAGCCACTCGAGGCTGAGGATCCTTGTTGTCTGGACATACCAAGGCTCTCGCATCCACCGTTCTTGTTAACTTGCTATATATTGAACAATGCATTTCTCAGTCAAGAGCGTAGAACCCTGAACACTTTGACAAGAGGCATCTCCTAAGAGGCAGCGCAGAATAACAGACAAGTACAGGTTCCAGGAACATTTCAACCTGGGTGTGAGTCCTTGTCTTAGTGCTTTCAGCTGCTTAAACAAAGTCCCTTAAACTGAATAATTTATAAACCACAAAAGTTTGTTGCTTACAGTTCTGGAGGCTGGGAAGTCCAAGAACGAAGCACCAGTGGATTTGATGTCTGGGGAAAGCCTGTTCCTCACAAATGGTGCTTTTTCTGTTGTTCTCACAGGTGGAAGGAGCACACGGGCTCCCTCCAGCCACTTAATCCCATTCATGAGCATTCTACTCTCATGACCTAATCACCTTCCAAAGGAGCCACCTCTGAGTACCGTCACCCTGGGGGTAGGTTGCAACATATGGAATTGGGGGGCAGGGGGCACAAACATTCAGACTAGAGCAGTCCTGGAGCCCTGCTTTCTGTGAGAGGCTCAGGCTCATTGAGCTTCAGTCTCTTTGTCTTGGAATGTTGGGATGATAATTTGTTACTGTTATGGTCCTCATGAAGGTTAAAGACAATACGTACAAAGAATGTAGAACATTGCCTGGCTCAGAGTAAGTACTCAATAAAGGCGGCCATTATTGCTGTTAGTTTAAGCAAATTCTCATTAGATTGGAAAATTAGATACTCTGGTTTTCCTTTTCACCTGCCCTTCCATCATAAACAGTGTGCCTTTGTGCTCATTCTTTCTCTGACTAACTTTTTAAATGTTTAGGAAGGAGAGAAAATTAAAGGATGAGAGGGCATCATTGTTATGTAATGAAGAAACGTGCTGACTGGACGTGCAGCCAGTTTATGCTATGGAATAGTCACTGGCTCCCTAGTACTTCTCTGTATTTTCTTCCATCCCTTGGCCACTCACCAGCATTTCTGGGCAGTTCTTTTTTCCCGGAACAAACTCTTCAAACCACCAATGTCTCTTGCTCCTGCCCTTCGC